TTTTTTTTTTTTTTTTTTTTTTTTTTTTTTTTGGTTTTTCAAGACAGGGTTTCCCTGTGTAGCCTTGCCTGTCCTGGACTCTTTTAGCTTTGAACTCACAGATTACAGGAGTGTGCTACTGAGCCCGGAATTTGCTTTATTTTCAATACTGCTTTTTAAAAAAAAATTTGTTAGCTGGGCTCAGTGGTGCACACCTGTAATCCCAGCACTCAGGGAGGCAGAGGCAGGTGGATCTCTGTGAGTTAGAGGCCAGCCTGGTCTACAAAGTGAGTCCAGGACAGCCATGGCTGAACAGAGAAATCCTGTCTCAATAAACAAACAAAACAAACAAACAAACTGTATATATTTGTGTGTGAGTGCACTGCCTAGGGAGGCCAAAAGGTGGTGTTGGGTCACTGGAGCAGGAGTCACAGGCAGTTTTGAGGGGCTCTTGGTGTGTGCTGGGAGCTGAACTCCAGTCCTCCACAAGAGCAACAAAATGGCTGAGCCATATCTTCGGCCTATTAGTACTGACTCTGAAGTTCAGTTTACCCTGGAGCCTGCCATTTCCCATGACACTGGATATATTTCAAGGACTCAGCAGCGCTCTGGGCCAGTGGCTGTGAAAGGGACGTTGAAAGGAGAATTTCAGCTCCTTTATTCCTTAGCCCCCGAGCGTGTGCTCACTGGCCGGGAGGCGACAGCTCTCTCTCCTATTGCCCCCACTCAGGTCCGTACATGGTGCGCTGGATTCGGCAGAGGCAATGGGTCAGAACCGCCGGCTGCTGTCCGATGTGCCCAATGCGCTCCATATCTTGGACGGGCCAGACCTACGCTATTTTCTGGGCTTGGTGGATCTGACCACCGTCTATGGGCTTCGCAAACGGCTGGAGCAGCTGTGGAAGATGGTGCGCTATCGAGGCCAGTCCTTCTCCACTGTCAGCCCGGCTCACTATGCCCGGCGCCTCTATCAGTGGGTGGAGCAGCACTCCGAGTGACTCGCACCTGCCTGAGTTCTTCCCCCCCTGGACAATGGCGCCCTCAACAATTTTCCAGCTCCACCCAGGGAGCTAGCCTGAAGTTCCAGCTATCAGCCACAGGAGGACAGTACCCCCTAACGAATGCTGCAACTACTCAGCTCCAGTCAGTGATAGTACCGTGCCCTGCAGAGAGTCAGGGCACCCCCACTTAGCTCATTTACTATTAAAAATGTTGATATTCTCTTTTTACAGACTGCAAAATGAAGGATCACTGGATGAAGGGCTTGAGTGAGACCACTCAGCAATAAATGCTGGAACCAGTCTGCACCATGCCTTGGGCCTGGGGACTTAGTTTTGGCCACCTAGCTCCTATGGCCTCATGCTCTGGAGAAGTGGAAGGGTGGAGGCTCTGCCCTCTTGTTCCAATGGGGAACAAGCCCAGGAGTTTTAAGGTGCAGGCTTAGGAACAAGACCAGCCCCAGATACTAGGCCTCCCGTTTCCCAGCTCTGGAATGGCTTCACAGTGCCCCTCTGAGAGAGAAGGACGCAAAAATGAGCAGAGGCATGCCCCCTGGAGTTGGTCGAGGGGGTGCCCTTCAAGGGTCACTGCTACTCTTGAGGGACTTCTCAGTCCTCTGTCAAATAGGGAAGCCTCAATGGCCAGCCTACGGGTTCTAGGCTAGCCTATACCATCCCTGGCCCACCTCTTTTCCTTCCCATACTGGGAAACCAGTATGGCCTTGACCTCAGTCTGACCTAGCTGTGCTCAGTGGCCTTTTCTTTCAAGGTGTTCTAGAGCCTGGCTATGTTTCCAGGACACGGAGCTTTCTAGCCCCTTGCCTCCTTGGTCTGAAGTGTGAAATGGAAAGAATGCACACAGACCTCAGGAACACATTAGACTGCCTGAGCAGCTGTCCTGTAACAGGCTATCAGCCAGGATGACACAGCTTTGGGGAGAAGCCTAGGGCCAAAGTCCTGGCGAAAGGAAGCATTACCAAATCATCTCATGCATGATGTCAGGAGGGAAGGGGCCTTACCTTCTAAGCTGAGACCAGAAGGGTCATACATGTCCCGGTTGGGTCCCAGGCCAAGGGCACAGTAAAGGACCTGGAATTCGGGAGAAAGAAAACATTTTAGCAAGAAGTAGCATTGTAGGGGCCATGAAGGGGCCAAGACTGGTCTGCCAGGACCCTGGAAAAGCCTTTCAATAATTGTTCTACTGGCCCATCAAATATGGCCAGAGTTTGAAAAGTGGCTGGTGAGAATGGGAGGGAAAGGGGGAGCAGAAGGGGCTGGCCTTAGTGCGGCATTCCAGGAACTGGCACTTTTCAAGCAGGACACGTGGCCTGTTCCGGGTGGTGTTGGGCGATTACTCTGTGCTGGCACAGCTGCAGGGATTCATTCTTGGTTGGCAGGAAGTTGAGAAATAGTGTTGAGCTTCTGATGCCACCCAGAGGTGTCCAGCCAGGGACGCAGGAAGGTAGGAGGACGACAAGGTAGGAACTGGGATCTGCTGCCACATCTTCTGGGGTCTGGCTCCCACGGGACTGACCTTGAACTCAGAGTCCTGAGGTCACACACATAGGTGACAACTTACCTTCTGGCCAGGAACCTTGGCAGGGGCTTGAGGCTGTGAGGAAAGTGACCTAAGACCTCAGAGGCTCGTGGTTCTCCTGCCTTGTTTTGTTCCTGTCAGGGACCACGTGGTGCTGAAGATTGTCACCATGTGGAGATGAGTCCAATGGGCTCCTGAGCCTGAGAACAAGGAAACTGACTTAGAGTCCTGTGGGGGAAGTGTGGCTAATGCCTGTAATCCCAGCACTTGTGAGACTCACACAGGAGGATCTCGGACTATCCCGGACCGTACTTGACAGAAACCGAGGGAATCTGGAAAGAGGGAACTTCAGCTGAGAAAAATGCCTCCATCGTTGGCATGTAGGCATGCCTTACAGGGCATTTTTCTTTTCCTCTTTCTTTTTTTCGTTAATGATTGACGTGAGATGGTTCAGCCTACTGTGGGCAGTGTCACCGCTGGGCAGGTGACCCTAGGTGGTTATGAGAAGGGTAACTGAGTGTGAGCCTGAGGAATAAGCCAGCAAGCAGCACTCCTCCCTGGCCTCTGCTCCAGGTCCAGCCTGCAGGTTCCTGCCCTGACTTCCCTCAGTTTTGGGCTAGGCTGTGGGAGTTGTAAGTGGAAATAAAACCTTTCCCTCCACCATTGCTTTTGGCTGTGGTGTGGTGTTTGTCCCGGGAACAGAAAGCAAACGGGCAGCTACATAGAAAAAGCATGTCTGAAACGTCACGTTTGGGTGTGCCGTTGGGAAAGGTGGTTGGCAAAGGTCTTCCCTAAGAGTTGAGGTTTGAGCTGAGAGACAAGGAGTCCCACTAGGAATGTGACAAGAGCAGTCTAGGGAGAGAAGGCAGGAAGTGCAGGGTCCTGGGTTAGGAATTGGTTTGATGTGACAGGTCAGAAGGTGGCCACGATGGAGGAATTCCGTTTGCAACCTCAGAGGCTCATAGGCAGCGGGGATTCGACAAAAACCAAGCAGAAGAACCTCTACAGGACTGTGAAATTTTCTGGTACTGCCCTGGGTCACCTCTGCCCTTACTGGGAGAGGGTTTTGGTTTTTTTTCCACTTTACAGAGAAAGAGGCTGCATTTACAGATGAATATTAAATATTAAAACAGCCTGCTGGGTGGTGGTGGACCACACCTTTAGCTTAAGCACTTGGAAGGCAGAGGCAGGCAGATCTCTTGAGTTCAAGGCCAGCCCGGTCTACATAACAGGACAGCCAGGGCCACACAGAGAAACCCTGTCTCGAAAACAAAACAACAGGAAAACAAACCTGAGCCATTAAATCCCAGCTCTCAGTCCTACAGCAGATGCTGCTGGCCTTGGCCTGCCTGAAATATGTGGGACTCTTCCTCAAAAACACAGATTCAAGTCCACATCTTGCTTTGTTTTTTCGAGACAGGGTTTCTCTGTGTAGCCTTGGCTGTCCTGGACTCACTTTGTAGAGCAGGCGGTCTTGAACTCACAGAGATCCACCTGCCTCTGCCTCCCTTGAGTGCTAGGATTACAGGCATGTGCCACCGTGCCCGGCTCACATCTCATGTTTCATTTGAGGTGACAACCCTACCAGCCTGAAACCCAGGGCTGCTTAACTCGAAGCCCTTGCTTCATTTCCTGTCCCTCTGTCACTTCCCCAGTAATTTCAGAAATGGAGAACCACAAGTCTCCATGGCCAGCAGCCACTGCATGGTGGCTCAGGCATTCTGGAGATCTCTTCTTCCAGGCCCTCAGCACACCAAGGAGCAGAGTGAAAAGCCAAAGCAGACAAGCCCCGCCCCCGACGTCGAGACCTCTCTGCCGGGCCGGAGGTCTCTGAGACAGCCACGCAGGGCCCGACCGCGCTGCGCAGACCCCGCCCCCTGTGCTCAAAGCCTCCGCCCCTCCGGCAGGCCCGGCACAGGCTCCCGGCTGTGCTGCTCTGGCTTCTAGGCTGCAGTACTGCCTCCTACCCGGGGCCGGTTCCAGCCCATCTGGCCCGGCCCACTGGACATGGAGCTCCGAGCCGCGCATCCTGAGATCTCGGCGCGCTCCAACCTGCCCGTCCGGTTAGCGCCCAGCTTCGGGAGGGGACGGTGGAAGCTAGCAGGGTGAAAACCCCACAGCCTGCCCGCCCCAGGCCTCTCCATCGCCCCGCGGTAGAGAGATGGGATGGATGGGGAAGAAATTCTGACTCTTGGCTTTCTTTGCCCGCCTCTGAGGGAATGGGTGACCTTGAGCCGAGAGCGCCTCCTCTCTGCCTCTCCTTCCCCATCTGCACCGTGGGGGCTGATTTGGCAAGGTCTCTGAACCCACATCATTTAGGATGGGGAACGTTGTTGCATGCTTGGAGACTTTAAGGCTTTTGGTTCCTGGACCCATTTGCCTTGACCTGGATCTGTATTTTCCCTTGCCTCAGTTTCCCTCATCTCCTGAGACCAGCTTCTAGCCTTTCCCATCCGAAGCTCTGGAGACAGCAGCCTCCCGACTGCTAAGGGCAAGGACAGCATGAAGGCCCCGGTAAGTGACATGGAAGAAATAAAACTGACTGAGATTTGGGGGCAACCTCGGCAGAGCTTCGCAGCCACCTTCCCACGCCAGGAGCTAAAGTCATCCTCCCAGCCCCGTTTGGTGTTGGGGATAGAACTTACAGCCATGTGCTTGCTGAGCACATACCCTCACATATAATCCCACCCACAGCCCTGGTGGTTGCTCCTATGCCTGCACCCTGCTCCTGAGGCTGTGTGACACCAGGCAAGTGGCTTCCCTTTTGGTTTCACTTTGTTGTTACCTGGAAATGGAAATAACGGTACAGTGCCCAGTTGAGAGGTGAGACTAGGTGTGAAGGTTCAGGCCAGCTGTTCTTGTCTTTACTGGGGAGCACCCTGAATGTTGAGGTGAGATTAGTCACCACTGCCTGAGTCAAGGTCTCCGGTCGCTTGTGGGCAGGGGATCAATTGCTGTGCGGGACCAGAGGCCTTAGGAGCTGTGAAGCAGGTCTCCTGGACAGCTGGCCTCACAGCTTATTTTTAGAAACTGATGTGGCTTATGCACAGACAAGGAAGGGTGGGCCCCTGGCAGGCTGTGGGGGGCTGTTCTGCACCTCTGGTTTTCTGGGCATACTGGCCAGCTTCTAGCGTTTTCTTTGGAATGGCCTTGGGCCTAGAAAATTAGAGCTGGGAGAGTCACAGGTATTGAGATGGATAGATGGATGGCCCACACACAGTGGTAGACACATGGGACATGGCTCTTCCAAAGCTTTCTGGGCACTGTCAGTGGGTGTGCAGGAGGCCACCCCTAGGTGAGAGGGCCAGAGGGTTTCTTCTAGAAGTGGGGTGACTGAGGGGAAGCATTCCAACTACTGAAAGCATTTTCTGTTTGCTTGTTTGTTTGTTTTGGTTTTGAAACATGGTCTCAGTCTATAGCTCAGGATAGCTTGAAACTCACTGTGTAATCCAGGTTGGCCTCAAACTTGTAACAGTCCATCCTCAGGCAAGAGTGGAGCCACCACGCCTGGAGAGATTGGTCTAATCTACTTTATTTACTTATATAGGTAATGGGTAATTGTCAGGCAACCTACCTGGGCTCTTGGAACCTGGCTCCTTTTGCAAGCACAGAAATTTCACCGCCTAGCCCTCTTTCCAGTCCTTGAAGGCATTTCATAAATGATATTTTTCTCAAGTCTCCTTCCACCTCTTGGACTGCCCACCCAAGTCCTAGCATCAACTGGGGATGGGGTGATGGAGGTAGGCCCATGGAGGTAGCACTGGCCTGGGCT